ATAAACCAGAAAAAAAAGACTACCAAAAAATACCATTCAACTAGTTGTTAACGTGTACCAAAATTCAAATTTCTAAGTTTAACCGTTTCCCCCCCAAAATTACTTTCTAAGCACATCCTTAAGATATTTGCACATTATTATGAAACACCCTGTATATTTTCGAGATATGGCTAAAACTATTTTTTTTCAACATCCTGTTTCTTAAAATTTTTATTTGAACTACTGCCATGAATTAATATATATGTAATTTATTGGTGGAATTTGGTCCATTCTATATGTTACAATACTTATTAAATATAGGTACATTCAAAATAAAAGCTGTTAAAATTACATGATTTTTATTTAATTATTCACTTATTTACACAATTTTTGGTTACTTGGTCACTATCTTTTTTAATATATTGAGCTGAAGCCCTTCAGGACTGATCGAAATGCATGTAACGGACATCATACATTCAAATTCTCAAGGAAAAAAGTTGGTCAAGTAGGCGAACAAAGAATCGTTTAACCCAAACGGGCTATCCGGCCGCCTGCGACCAAAGTGGCTCGCATGCTGTCACACCCGTCACGTGACCTATCAAAAGCCTGAAGCGGCCGCTTATTTTTCATTTCCCGCACAGCGGGAGTACGTGACGCGTGATAATAGATTAAAACGTCGTTTATTTCGCTGCACACAACAATCGACCATAAAAACGAAAGAGCGGCAGTACCGTTTAACTGATTAGCATATACGTCTAGATGGGAAAAATATTACTGACGTCAAAGAGTATGCTCATATCTTGCAGTTGGTCGGTCGCTTGAAGCAATGAAGACATGCAGGCACCGTATGCCTGAAGAAAAAGCAAGAATGATGAGTAAAAAACAAAAAAAAACGTATTTTACACTTTTTAATTAAACGTTCACAGGCAGGACCGGATTAAGGCATAGTGACGCTCTCGCATTTTTTTAAAAAAAGTTAATTCAAACAAATTAAATGATTTTTTTAATATTGTGAGGAACAACAACAATCTTTAAAATAGAGAAAAAAAATGCGAGAGCTAATAATGTAATACATATTTTTTAAAATTAAAAGAAACTTAGTAAAAAAAACTAATATTATTTAGGCAGAAAAACAATTATCACGGATTTAGTCATGTCCAAAGCTTTTGACACTGTCGTTTCAAAATGCCATTTTTTCAAAAAGTTTGATGATTATATATATATTTTCTGTTATTATACATGGTGTTTCTGAAAATGACCAACTTTTATTAAACTGATGGTCTAAATCCGTCTGTTTTGGAGAAAATAAATTAAGAAAATTAACCATAAATTTTAAGCCGACCCTGTGCATCTTGTGCACGTGCGTGTGGCGTGTACTACGGGAACAATTTGTATACCCCTATCATGTACAAAGGGTTCAGGCATTAAATAACAATGATTTACTTATTTACTTTTTGTTAATGTCATTTTGTCAACTACAATAATACTGTCTCCAGTGGTTTTACATTCAACACACTTGTTGAAACAATGAAAATAAACGCTGACAACGAAATAATGGACAATAAATTACACGGTCTGATAAGTTATACGCGTTCCGCACACTGATGTGATACGCCACTGCGTACCTCTAACCTGTCTACCGTACCTTACTTACACTTCCTTCAAATTTCGAATCTGCGGTAAATATCAGAACATCGTTCCCGTTACCCGCCGTGATAAAGTGACAAGGAGGTCTAAAGGTCGTCATAGACGATAGAGTTTACCCGCAGGTTGTACGCTTTCGCCTTTATTTGTTTGTTAATGTGACAGTTAATTTACTTGTGAATTTATTATTGGTGGATTATGTTTTAGACTCTTAGTTAAATCAAACCAGTTAGAAAATGTTTATAGATGAAAGATTCCAGGAACATTATTTGTTTGATAATGAATATACTATTTCATTAAATAAGGTGCGACAAATAAAAAAAAGTCAGATTTTGAAAATGCCGCTACATTTTCACTCAATATTGAGCATTTTGATAATTTTACTCATTTGTGATAATATTTTAACTAAAACTAAGTATTTTCACTCAAATATAGGTACCCGTAAATAAATTGTCCAGATAAACTCGTATTTGGTACATTTGTAGCTAAATCGGAGTAAATGTCCTCATTATTGAGTGACTCATACCCATTCTATGGTTGTTGTGCGTTGTCTTTGTCTATGCCCACCGTCCTCATTGTGTAGAAATAAATGTGGCAGCTTAGTATTTTATTAAAATTTAAAGAGAATATAAACCAAGTCTGAGTAAAAAAATACTCAATAATAGTTAAATTTCGAAAAAAAGTCAACACTTAATTGGTTTTATATATTCAGAATAGAGTCAAAAGCCACTCACTTGATAGTAGAAACTCGGATTTTAGTAAAATTCACTCCTGTTACAATAGTTTCACTCATAAAATTTTAGTTGT